AATTTCTTGGAGCACTGGGAGTTTAAAGTCTTTTTCCCGCAGCAGCCGTGTTTGACTAACATTTGTCAATCACTTGATCACTGCTAGCTGCTAGCTTCTTTAATCTACACACAAAATTGTCTACGGACACTCCTTGCATTTGTTCTGCTTGTCTGAACACATGTCTTTCATAGGGGATATTTTTCTGTGTAAAATAAGCATTCAACTTGTTTACTGCACCGTCATAGTCAGCCTCGTCTGCCGTTTCATCCATAGTGAAGAATATGTCTTGGACCTCATCTCCTGCTAGGTGTAGCAACAAAGCTCTTTTCCGTGAGTCGTCTCGAATTCCCGATGCCACTAAATAGAGTTTAAAACTATTTAGCCACTTTTGCCGGCGGACGCCGACATTAGCTGGGTCACTCGAAACGTCAAAAGAAGTTACCGCCGGTAGCGCCATGCTAACTCCGTTCAGTTCTCTTCTTCCTCCTCGTCAGATTAAACTTCATGCAGTAACCGGTTTTCTTTTCCTCCGCATTCCGTTTTAGATTCTCGTCGCCATTTGTAATGTTTCCTTACTTCTGTTTAACAATAATAATCAGGCTCCAGTCGGACGGTCATTACCATGCTTCTTTATTCGGGTCTCACTCGTTCTTTTACCTCTCTCGTACCCCTGACGTCATCACGCATCTGTGTTCCCAGACACTACAGTATGGGTCTTCCTATGCTGGTAGATGAATGCTTAAGAGTTTCACTCATTGCACAGTGGTTAGTTATGAATATGTGGCCGAGAAACAAATGTGCATAATCTATTAGAAACTATATTGCATTTGTTTTTGATGCAGCCTTGTTTACTGCCTTGGTAGGCTTTGTTTGCTATAATAAGGTCAGCTGTAATCAAACTGTGGTACACAGCAAATATCCACAGAGAGATGAAAAACACTAAAGATGTGAATCACAGTCAGAATATTCAGTGCTGATAATGTGACATTGAGTCAAACAGGGCAAACGTGGTGGTCTCCAGATTCATCATCCTAACTGAATTTTAGAATATATATCTATGAATATTTTTTGGAAAACACAAAAACCTACTTAAGTGTTTGAAATATTCAGTAGCAAGTCTTGCTTTTTAAGCCTTGTGGGTGCAGTGGAGTGTCAAACAGTGCAGAATAAAAGTGAGAAAACTGAATGCATGAAGCTAATTTGGTTTAATATGTCATGTTCTATTTGTACATGTACTTTTATCATCAAGGAACAACTTCAATTTTTTTTGCCGCTCTTGCTGCAATGCAGAGCTATTTAATTGTCAGAATATACATTGGATTGATTTTAATAACTTTAATGTACTTAAAGTACTTAAAGTGTGCACTGTGCAACTGTTTTATCAAGGAAAATACAAGTATCAGATTGAGACTCAGTATCAGCAAATACTCAGTATTGAATTACTTGGATAAAATTTGTAGGCCAAAAAACTTTGATCAGGACATCCCTAATTATACTTCCTGTTTACATCCCTGAAGGCATGGGGGATGTGCATGATGACCTATGCTCCCAACTCCCAACCGTAGACCCAACTACCCAATTAGAAGAGCAGACGGCCTTTTTCTCTGTAATAATTTTACCGGCTTTATTCTAATTACCCCAACAGCAACCATGATGTCTGCTTTCTACAGAGCCATTGATTACCTCAAACCTCTACTCTGCTGCTTATAATGCAGCAGTTCATATTGGCCGATCACTGTTTCAAATGCATCTTCGGAATCAGAATCACTTTATTGATCCTCGTGGGATATTGGTTGCGGTAACTATCTGACATGCGCCCACTATAGCAATAGTTTTTAGTAATGCAGAAAACAAACTAGAGCAGGTTATTTAATTTGCCCCTTTCCCGTAGGCTGTTATGTCTCCACAAAAACACAAGGCCCCTAATGCTTTACACTGAGTGTCATACCAACATTTAGCTTTTCATCTTCTCCTTTAGGTTTCATAAATACATAAGCTATGTTGTGAAAGCCAATTTTCTTCAGCTCTGGGCTAAAACTGATGTTAAGTCGTTCCTCACTTTCTCAAATAAGAAAAAGGTTATCCCGGCTTCCATCTCATCACGTCTGGATTATTGTTCGGCTTGTTGCAGTGAGACGGCTTTCTCCCCTGTGTAAGTTCTCCCAGAACGCTGCCAAATACTGATGCTGCCAACTTTGAAATGGCTTTCCTTAGGTTGCAATGAACAAATGTTTTGACACTGGGAATTTTGGCTTTCCACTCAAATTGTAACACTGTGCAGTCTTCAGACATTGCCATGCCTCGTAATGACCACTCCAGGGCAGACAGTGTAACAAGGAATGCATTTGTGAATGAAATATCCAATGAATGAATAAATGAGTATTAGCTTAAATTACTCTTGTGCATCTTAGAAAACAAATCACAGTTGGCCACAGAAAACCAGATTAGTGAATCTCATATTTCATTCAAATTGGCAGTAATGGGGTCTGAAAAATGCAGTATTTATTGCAAATTTCTCAATGAAATTAAGCGACTCTTTGATTTTTCCAACAGCCCAGTATGCAAATATTGCCTCTTCCTCATTAATCACACTGCCTGTTCATTACGTCATTACTTTGACCTTCCTGCCGAATTCATTTAAATTTCCTCCAAGCCTGCTTTCACAAATGGACAACAGTCTTTCATATTCATAAGAAAAGAGATGCCCACTCCAGGGATTCCACTTATGGAGAACATTCCCTCTGGTAGCTCAGAAGTGGAAATTAATGTTCCTGTGTCCTCAGCATGACTTAAGCCTTTATACACACCACACAGGGGTGTGTGGACTACAGAGAACTACATTCTAAAACAATCAAACAACTTATGTCTGAGAGGTTTGTATTGTTCCGGGAGATACTTATTTGGCTCATTTACGCAGCAGTCTTCTCTGAAAGCCTCTGTGGGGAAAATGCACATCAACAAAGAACACATACATGCTCTAATTTTATGTATGTCTCTGAATGTTTTGTGGTTTGGGTTTTTTTCTGTTGGTGAGCAGCTGCAGAACTCTGTGTGTGTGTGTGTGTGTGTGTGTGTGTGTGATGATTTGGCAGCTAATGTGTCACAGGGGAATAAGAAATTGTGACTCTGAGATGGTGGTGGGGTCTCTATTGTCAGTCACAGCTGTTGGCAAAGACTCTAGCACAAGCCTGGACTTACTTTCTTGGTTATGATAAGAACTCTAGAGTAAGAGGCAGCTAATGCGGAGTTCACACTGTGATTTTAGCCCTGATTTTCCACTCATCGACAAGTGCCCCAACATCACAGGCAAATCTGCGTTCGGATGACATTGTGTTGAACTGTTCAACGACGAGACTCGCAGGCTAGACAAAAGCGTGCTGATGCCTCAGTGACCCCAGAAAAATATCTAGCAAGCCAAATATCTTGTTGTGTCTCAGACGATTAGGGGAGCAATGCAATAATCTACAGCCAGTGAGTGCAGACACGGGTAGCCTCTCTCTCCAGCTCCAGACAGGAACCAGCGAACTGGGTAGTTACTTTGGTAAAAGCTGAAAAAAACCTCTCAGATACCAACACACACATAACAGACGGTGAATAAACAGAGTCGGTGTTCAAGTTGG